ACTCACGGACCGCGAGATCGTGACCTGGCTGAAGTCGGACGCTTAACCGACTGCGCCACCCAGGCGCCCCTGGAACATTTCTTATAAGAACTAAAAGATACTGGTACTGGGATCCCAATTACATAAACCTAACCTACTTTTGGCACCTGCTTCTAAGAAAGTCCATAACATGTATGGTTTACTTCTTCCCTCCCCTCTTCCTCCAGGACATTTGGTTTTTGGGGCTTAAAAGAGTGTTCCAATATTTCCTGAAAGTTTTTTCCCCAAGCTTCTGACAACCATCCCACAAGGTCTGATTTTGGCAACCCCCCAGGGCACACTCAAAAACAGCAAATGATGGGGCACCTGGGTGGCTCAGTAGGTTGAGTATCTGACTTCGGCTCAGGTCATAAACTCGCGGTTTGTGGGTTCGAGTCCCATGTCAGACTCTGTGCTGACAGCTCAGAGCCTGGAGCTTACTTCCGATTCTGTCTCCCTCTCTCTCTCTCTGCTCCTCCACCCTCGCACTGTCTCTCTCTCTCTCAAAAATAAATAAACATTTAAAAAATATAAAAAAAAAACAGCAAATGACAACTATATCTTGATTGCTGCCTGGCTGACACTGATCACAAGACTCATCCTGATCTCTAAGAAGTTCAAAAGTGAAAAAAATGTGTTTTTCCGATTAAATATACTCTAAATTCCATGCTGATGAATTCCATATTTATATCTCTAGTTCCAACTTCTCTCTTGTGCTGCAAGTCCAGCTACAAACTGCCTACTTACACTTCTCTTAGATATCTAACAGGTATCTCAAACCTAAGTAGGTCAAAACAGAACTTGAGTCTCAACTTGCCCTCCCCCAAAACCAAAATAACTTCTCCTATTCTTTCATCAGTATTCCTGTTATTAATAAGTGGAACCAACATCAACCCAGTTGCTCAAGTAAAAAAACTCAAAAGTCCTTTTCTTTTCCTCATTCCCACTTCCAATAAAATCATCAAGTCCTGCCTGTTCTACCTCTGCAATATATCTCAAACCAGTCCACTTCTATCCATCTCCACTACCACCACATATATACAAATCTCTATTGCTATTTCCTGTATAGACTCCACCAACAGCCTCCTAATTGGTGCCCCTGCAGCCACTTGGGCCTCCTCTTATAACTCTGTCCTCCACTAAAAAGCCAAAGTGATGTCTATTAAACATAAACTCAGACCATACTACAACCCTGCTTTAAAATTTTTTAATTGTTTCCCATGACACTCCTAACAGACTCATAAGAGAGATAGCCCCTGAATCTCTGCCACCTTATTTCATCCCATTTTCCCTCTTTTCCTTAAGCTCTAAGCCAAACTGGCCTTCCTTTTTCCCTTGAACCTCTTGAGCCATTGTGCCATTCCCACTGCCTAGAATGCTCTTCTTCCAGCTATTCTTAGGCTGGCTTATTCTCATCTTTTAGAAGAAATCTCAGACCAAATACCACCTTCTCAAAAAGCCTTCCTTAAACACCCATTCCTCACAACTCCCCAGTCACTTTCTCTCACCCCACCCTGTTTATGTTCTTCATAGCATTTCTCAAAATTTATAATTATCATGTTTATTTACTCATTACTTGTTTATTGTTTGTTCTCATTAGAATATAAACTCCATTTGGGCAGAGATATTGGTATTTGTCTCCATAGGCACTATACTCCCAGTGTGAGAAGCACAGTAAACACAAAATAAATATTTGTTGAATGAATAAAGAAACAACGATTGATTCAAAGGTAATTATGATAATAAAATGTAGAGCTTCAGAACTGCCTGAAATGAAGGCTCTACAAATGTTGAAAATATTTTGACTCATTAAGTGAACAGAGCTCTTTCACACTGAGAACTGATTGGTCAAATTATATTTACTAAATTATCTCTAAAAAGCTGACTAATTTGAAACATTAACAATGTTAAAATTCAGTAAAATCAAAATGTCAGAATCAAATCATACTACCATGGTATCAGAGGTTATTTTTACCATCTCAAAGGTAAGATACTTAGATAATGAACAGTTAGTTGGTGACAAGGGCTCAAAAAGGCGCTCTTTTTAAAACAAAAATTGACATTAAAGCCTAGTACTTTCAGAACCATATAGAAACATCATCAGTTTAAAAACTGGCAGTTTCAGGGGCGCCTGGGTGGCTCAGTCGGTTGAGCGTCCGACTTCACCTCAGGTCATGATCTCGCAGTCTGTGAGTTCCAGCCCCGCGTCAGGCTCTGTGCTGACAGCTCAGAGCCTGGAGCCTGCTTCAGATTCTGTGTCTCCCTCTCTCTCTGCCCCTCCCCCACTCATGCTCTGTCTCTCTTTGTCTCAGAAATAAATAAACATTAAAAAAATTTTTTTAAAAACTGGCAGTTTCACATTTTGCCAAATGTGCTGTATGCCACTAGAATTTAAATCTTCTAGTCAGAACCAACCTTCCTTAATAAACATTTTAAAAACTGTTTTCTGCTTTAAAAGAATGTATCAATTCCTGATCTTTCAAAATGAGTTTGCTCACCTATGTTCTAGTTGATAATATTTACTACTTTAGAGACTGAATTTTATAACACACACGGTCTAGAAGAAAAAATTATTTGACTTATGAAAATCATTTCTACTTTATCTATGGTTTATTACATGCTTTGCCAAATAAGAACTGGGTACAACATTATTGACTGGGTATGGAGAAACCAACAACCATTCATGGTTAGCAGTAATGTAAATCTGTATGAATTCTACTGAAAGGAATTTAACAACACCCAACAAAATTAAAAAGACATAACCTTTGAGAACAATTCCACTTGAGAGCAATTTTATCCAGACACACTTGTATATGTATGAAATGATGTATATGGTTTAAGAATATTCATTAGAGGGACACCTGGGTGGCTTAGTCAGTTAAGCATCTGACTCTTGGTTTCAGCTCAGGTCATGATCTCACAGTTCGTGGGTTCAAGCCCCGCATCAGGCCCTGTGCTGACAGTGTGGAGCCTGCTTGGGATTCTCTCTCTCTCCCTCTCTCTCTGCCCCTCCCACAGTCAATCTCTCTCTCTCTCAAAAATAAATTTTAAAAATTAAAATAAGAATATTCATTAGAGTATAATTTCAAAACAGAACTAGAAACAACTTAAATGCTCAACTTACAACTTACATGCTTAACTTTAATATAGATTCATATGATGGAATACTATGGAGACAACAAAAAGAATGAGGCAGCCCTTTGCATACAAAAATGAAACAAAGCCAAGATATTGAGTCAAAAATTCAAGAGGCAGTAGATATCATATATAATGTTGTAAAAGATCATTTACACAGAAATATACAATATATCTCTAGAAGGATATTCAAGAAATTGAATGTGGGTGCTTTATGATAAAAAGTGTCCATATGGAGTTTCACTCCCAGGAGAAGATCATGAGTTCTATGGACACACTCCCCAGAAAATGAGAAAATTTGGCAAAGACCATTTTTAAAAACCCAGCACTTACAGTATCTGGAAATTGTCCTAAGGGTATATTAATGTACAAATATAACAATATTTATTGAAGAAAATCTACTAAAATTCTGTAAGGACAGCAAGTGTCTGGGGCATGTGACCTGATCTTTCCTATGTGAGTGTGGCTAAAAGGTCAGGGCTGTAAATACCTACATTAAGAATGAAGGAGGGGCACCTGGGTGGCTCAGTTAATTAAGTGTCTGACTTCAGCTTAGGCCATGATCTCTCGCAGTTTGTGGGATCCAGCCCCACACTGGGCTCTGCACTGGCTGTGTGGAAC